AATCAAACCATGAAGATGCCCAACGAGAAATCAATTTCGGATAAAGCCTAAAAGGTCCCAGACCTCAAAGTACTCGAGCCCGCGGCTCGGCAAAGTTTAACTGTTACAAGCCCACTCGGCATCCTGAGGCAAATTTAAGGCAGAGTTTAACGGTTACAAATCCACTCAGCATTCCGAGGTAAATTTAAAGTTTTTCACTCCTCAGGAGGAGGACTGGAAGGGGCGACGAACTCATCCAAGTCGATCCCGTCGGCAATACGGGTGGCGGCGGCGATGAAAGTCTCCATGAAGTCTTGAAAGCTGTGCTTCCTGGTATTTGCAACTTGGATGGCCGCCAGCTTTTCTTCTCGCGCCTCCTTGCAATGGACGCGGACCAGAGACAGAGCGACATCAGCACCGCATCTAGCAGAAGATTTCTTCCATTCCGCCACTCGACCTGGGACTTCGTTAAGTCGAGCCATCAGAGACTCGAGGTCGTTCTGAAGCGTCGTCCCAGGCCAGAGTGATGTGTCGATCCGCGACATTGCAACTTTCAGCCGAGCCAGATAATCAACGACGCTGGTAACACGAGACTCCAGTCGGAGCACGTTCATGGCAGCCTCATCCTTCACGAGAGAATTGGCGGGATCCAAGCCTGGCTCCACTCGACCGGTTTCCTCTTCGAAGTTCTGGCAGAATTCTGCGAACACGATTCAAGAATAAGACAGTGGCCGTACGCGGGCTCGGCAACTACAAGACAGTCAGGTCGGAATAATTACCTTCGAGCATGACGAACAGCTTCTTGGCGAGCCCTCCGAGATAAGCCTCCAGATCTTTCGCCTTCCCCGCCAGCTCGCCCGCCTTGTCGTGCAGAGCCATCTTCTCCTTCTTCAGTCGACTGGCATCTCGATTAGCTGTCTCAAGAGCAGCTTTCAGTCTGGAGTTCTCCTCTTCAAGAGTCCCGACCGAAGCCAGCTTCTCTTCTGCGAGCTTCGTTTTGCTCGAGGCCTCCTTCAGCGCCTCTGCAAGGTCTTGATCCTTCTTATTCAGAGCTTCCTCCAGTTTATCTGCGGCACGTCGAGTGGAACCAACATCAAGAATGGACAGGAAAGAAAAGCCACCTGTTAAGAATGGAGAACCTCACCAGCCTTACCTCTTGCCTCTTCTTGCGCCTTCTTCAAATTCTCCTGAGCAAGCTGCAAGTTAAGGTTGAGCTGGATCTGCTGATTCTCCAACTCAGTATAGCGAGCTACAAGTTCACAAGGTTTTTGCAAAAAGAAAAATCAGTCGACAGACGTCCAAGATAAGTTGCTTCCGAGTAACTCAGAGACAATGATGACATTTCTAAGACCACAGCCAAATCAAAAACATTCGACAGTAGTCTCGGGGACTACACCCAGTGGGTGCACTCAGCGTGCCCCCACTGGTTAAAAAAAAGAGAGAGAAAAAGTCGACTGCCCGCAGTCGACCGGATACAGTTCCACTCGACCTGGCCCGACCAGACCGAGTGAAGAAATACAGCTACAGCAAACACAATGAAAAGACTACAGTCGACTGCCAGCAGTCCACCGTAGTCTCGGGGACTACACCCAGTGGGTGCACTTAGCGTGCCCTCACTCGTCCAAGGATTGGCAGACACACCCAGTGGGTGTACAGATACAAAAGATCTTCGGAAAAGAGACTCTTCAAACAGCACATCATAACAGACCAAGTGTTGAGTCGACTGACCTGGACGTTGCTCTGAAGAGCCGAACTCGCGTCATAGGCTGCTTCGCTGGCCTCCCGAGCCATCTTCACTTGCTCCATCATGATCCCCGCCTGGCGTATAGCCTCCTTTGCAGCAGCCGCTTGGTCCTCAGGGACGGGGTATGCGGCAAAAAGTGAAGACGGATCCGCAGTCGACGACGAGGGCCGCGCACTCGCCGGGGGAACGGCGAAGGTCACAGAAGCCCGAGCGGTGTCACCACCATCCCGAGCCACGGCCTCAGACGCCGGAGCGGATTGGGAGGTCTTGTCAGCCGACGCCCTCTTGTGCCTCCTCACTCTCAACGGACCGTTGTCGTCATCATCCGGGAGGTCGATAACATGAGGAGGGGCTACAAAGGAAAAGTTCAATCGACCAGAGTTGCAGTAAATGATCAGTCGACTCAATACAGAACGTCAGTAATCGTACCAGGGTTGGAGGTAGCAGCATCCTCCATCTCTTGGTCGTCACCCTTGGCGGAGACCTCAGAAGTAGCAGCACTGCAAAACTCGAAAGTCAATCGGTTGGCTCAATGAATCGACCAAGGATCTGTCCATGGTCGACGAAGGGAAACAAGTTTTATTATTACCCAGAAATGGTAGGGACAGCTATCTTCATCTTGGGTAGAGCCTTGGGCGGCTTGGACAGCGTCGTGCGTGGGAGCTTGGGGACCTTCCCAGTCGGCGTAGGAAAAGAGGTCCGAGGGCGTTTCGACGACTGCCCAACAGAAGCAGTCGCCTTGCCGCGTTCCCACGCTGGGTCGTGTGTGTGCTTGGACTGCCCCTCTGGGCGAGGGGGTTCGACCTCCTCCTCCTCCTCTTCGCTGGAGTCGACATTGTCGTCTCCCTCTCCTTCATCGTCGGACTCCCACTCGCCTTGGTCGTCCCCGCTCTCACCTCCGCTCGCCTCCCCTTCCTCAGTTGGCCCCTGAGCCCCGTTGGGCGTCGAGTACATCTCGGTGGTCGCCTGAAAAACAATAGACAAGACGAAAGTCAATCGACCAACTCAAGGAAGACCAATGCAGAAAACAAGATTTCAGTCGGGAGCATTTTCAGTCGGAATGCAAAGAACAAGACATACCTGGTCCACTTCATACGAGTTGTCGAGTGGAGTTACCCTCCTGGCTCCTCGGGGGTTGTCTTTGTTCCCCGTGATGCTCGACAGCCACCCCTCCAGCATCTCGTCGGTGACCTCCTCCGGGTGGATCCGAGTGGTGTCATCAAGACCAGAATACAACCACATCGGGTGGTCACGGGCCTGGAGCGGTTGGATGCGCCTCTGGAGGAAGACCTCCAGTAGGTCCATCCCAGTCACACCCTCACGGACAAGCTCGACCACTCGACCGGCCAGCACTTTGACTTGGGCCCTTTCCTCCGGCGTCACTTTCAAAGAAGCGGGTTTTTCAGCTCGATCGAGGGAGAAAGGAGGAAGACCAGTCGACTGTCCTGGGGTCGCCTGGTCCTGACAGTAGAACCAGGTCGACTGCCAACCACGGACCGACTCCGGGAAAGTAATGGAAGGAAAACAGCTCTTCCCCCTCGCCTGGATCGCCAAGCCCCCGCACAACTGGATCACCTGCGTCCTCTCGTCACTCGACTTAGCCTTCTTGACCGATTGAGAACGGCAAGTAAAGATGTGTTTGAAAAGTCCCCAATGGGGGCGGCAACCCAAGAAAGCCTCACACATGGAAATGAAAGCGGCAAGGTAGACAATGGAGTTGGGAGTGAAGTGGTGGAGCTGCGCTCCGAAGAAGTTCAAGAAGCTCCAGAAAAAAGGATGGGGCGGGAGAGAAAACCCTCGGTCGATGTGGGTGGCTAGGAGCACGCACTCACCGTCACGGGGTTGAGGTTCGATCTCTCCCCCTGGAAGACGCGCAGCTTGGTGGGGAATGACTCCCCCCTCGACCATGTCGTCGAGATCCTCTTGCCGGAGCACCGACGTCATCCAGTCGCCCTGGATCCAACCTTTGGGCAGAGCGGTCCTAGAGGAAGATCCGCCCCGGGCTGACCTCTTCCCTTTCCCCGCCGCCGCCGCCTTCTTCGCGCGCTCCAGGGCGGAGGTCTTGCTCTTCGTCATCGTCGCCGGCGAAGTCTCGCACGGGCCTGCTGCGCTGGGGCGGGAACGGAGGTGGCGGAAGGACTTGCGAAGGGGGAGAGGCGGAAGAAAGGAGGAGAAGAAAGCGCACTGCTTGGAAACCCGAGCCGGCGATTTATAAGGGACCGCCTCCGAGTGGCTGACTGGTAGGCCCAGGCTATCCAGTCAAATCCCGCAGCAGACGCGCGTGCAGTACGTGGCGAAAAAGGCGATGCGGGGATCGAGGAACTTCTGCTTTATCGCTTCCGATTACTGCGGCTGCTCCCGTCCCGCGCGCTTCCCAAAATCCGAATCCCGCGACATCCGCGGGCCACAAAACAACTTGTCAAAATAGAAGACCCCGATCGCGCCGGCGCTCGATATGTCACAAACAAAGAAATTCACTCGATGAAAGGCCTGGAATGGATCAAGGCGACTGAAAAAGGTTGGCAATGTCATCCGTGACGATTGACCCAAAACGAGGCGCTCACGTAGCCCGAAGAACCAGTCGGAAAGATCTCCAACTCTTTCCCCACTCTAACCTCGATCCATTCGGGGGCTAGTGATGAAGACATGTACCTAGGGTAGGGACACAGACCTGACCAAAGAGTCCTACCCTAGGACACCCCTAGGAGAAGTCACCTTTCAATCGACTTAAAGGTATCCCACTCGACGGACTCAAGACACTCGACCAGAAAGCTATCACTCGACCAGAAAGCTATCACTCGACCATGAAGCCAACCACTCGACCGCCAGGAGACCTACAATCACTCCGCAGGCAAACGGTCAGCTGTTAAGTAGTCTTTATGGTCGTCATAGCACTTTATTAGGGGCGTTACCAGTAACGCCCAACCTTAAACCCTGCACTACTGAGGGCAGGAGGGGGGCCGGCGAACTCTATATAAGCCACCCCCCTCCTCAGTATGAAGGGTTCGCACCCCTGTTATTCACACGCCAGTAATCCAATCGACCGCCTCCGGGCACCGAGACGTAGGGCTGTTACTTCCTCCGCGAAGGGCCTGAACTCGTACATCTTGGTGTGTTTACAACTTCCCAATAGCTGAGATCTAGCCTCTCCATACTTACCCCCCTACATCACTGTCAGAGTTAGAACCACGACAGCACCTTTCCTCGAACTTTCCAAAAAATAGACAGCACCTTTCCTCGAACTTTCCAAAAAATAATCGTACTTGATGAAATGCAGTGGATACATGCCCCCAGAATACATCAACAGACAGAAAATCAGTCCGAAGTTTGACGTATTTAGTCTCGGGGTCATAATCATACAAATAATGGCAGGAAAGGAGGGCTACTATAGTTTTCCATACTCCCCTCAGAAAGAATTTATTAAGAATGTAAGAAAAAAGATTTCATATCATGGAAAACATTTTTTTCACAAATATTTTATTGTGCTTTACCCCTGTTCCCCTCTTTTGGTGTTATTATGTTAAAATTATCTAGGTACGTGAAAACTGGCGAACTAAGGAGCAGGCAACAATGTCGCCCCATGCATCTGAAGAAGTCAATACATGCATCAAAATAGCGTTGAAATGTGTGGAGGATGACCGAACGCGAAGGCCTACAATAGCCCAGATTGTTAATGAACTAAGTAACATTGGTGTTGCTAAAGTTCACCCATTAGTCAGGTACATATTCTCTGTTCCCACGGATCAGGCCGTATGTCTTTTGTCATCCTACTTTAATTCATATGTTCCCTGCCATAACCTGTAACTATCCACACGTGCGCTTGCACCGGTAGGAATTTTAAAGTAATAATAGCAATAACCAATTAATGTAAAAAATATTAAATTCATGTTGTTGATTCCTACATTATTTAACAGTTCCTTTCTGGATGCAGTGGGCGAACAAGCTGACTGCGTTGAAGACCTTGTTGTTACCCACTCACTTCAAACATTGGCTGTTCCTCTTAGTCGCAGCGATTGCCATGTTTTTCGCATGGGCTCAATTCTGCCCAGGTATATATCGACGCACTGTAGACGAACATGATTAATTGCTTGAAGGCACAAGTTTGTTGTATTCTATTGATGTGCGCAAATCCTTCAAAATCTGCAGATTCATGGTGCCAAAGCATTACAAGGAGAATGTAAACAGCAGCGACTACTGAATGGTTCCCAAAAGGCCGCGGGAGGGACAATAGTTTCTGTACGAGCGCTGTTAGTGGTTTCCATATTAGTTTCTTCTGTCAAGCAAAGCAAATGGCTCTCTTCGGCCAATAGAGTGGAAGGGCCTGTCCTGATGTCCCAGCCGCAGCTTCTCGAGCTTTGGCGAGGCCTGCAATCAGACCATGACACCTCCCCTCTCTGGCCACCACGGCGGCGAGCTCCCTCCAACAGAGGACTGGCGCGAGGCGTTCGACGAAATGTGTGGATTAGCAAACAATTTCTTTGGGCAGTTGAGGTTAGAGCAAGGACTAGGCGCAAGAAAGTTGAGTTCCTCAAATGTTAGCAAGTTAAACCTCATCCAGCTCAAGGAAATGCTCGATCAGTGCGGCCATCTCCATCATCTTTCGCCATTGCGAGCCCTGCTTAAAAAATACTCCATATAAACCTTTACACACTGCGTGTTGCATATGACAACGTAAATTTTTCTGGATGGCAACCATGCTGTGTGGGTTGTCCATCTACCTCAGCTTGTACTGAACCTGTGTACTGGGTTTTTTAATGGAATGCGAGAACAGTGTTCCGTACAAAAAATTGAGCAATGTTCGATGTTGATGTTGCGCACGAATAAATGGGCCTCAGCACTGTTTTTAGCTCAATCAGACCCTGAACTACAGGCAGAGTCTCCCCGCAAAACAAACAAACAAATAAACAGGAAGAACTATCGACAAAGGTTGTCACGAGCGGCAATATCTTGTCTTCGTCGCGTGCGCGCGACAGGTCCAATGTTACAGCTTACATCAAGAGAAGGAGGAATTGAATGTGATGTCGCCAGAGGCAGGATCGAAGGAGGCCTCCACGAGCGCAGCCGACTCGGCTGGGTTCACTTCCACAGGCTTACTCAGGAGCTGCACGCCTTGCTTCCAGTATCTGCTATCTGAGAGAGGCCAACAATACCAACAACACCATCAGGGAAATGCAGTAGACAACCATCAGTCTCATGACAGTTACATCTTATATGTCCCAGATACAGTTACAAACAAGGTATGACATGAGGGTAAGATGTTCTATTTACCTGGTCCCGTGCTTATCACAATGGAGTTCTTCTCGTCGAGCACCCAGTCGATCCAAACCGCGAAGCCGTGGCACATGCCCGCATCGGCAAACTCGATCTACGAGACCGCATATATAATACATCAGCCAGAAAACTATGTGCATATCAGGGTACAAAATTCAGTCAGGAAACTGCATGCATACTGTAGCCACCAGAGGGGCACTTTTACTCGTGTATCTTAGTGTGCATGAGAGGCCGAGGAATGAATGATACTCGGGTTTCCTATGCATTGCGTTTATAGAAACTAAAAAAAGGTCAAGGCAGAACAAAATCGCTCCCAGCAGACACCTTGCAAACAAGTTTGTGCTAGTATGATCTAAGTCTGCGAGATCTCATGCATTCACATCTTAAAATTCAGTTAGAACCAGTGACAGCGTGGACCTAATAAAACTCAAGGATCTCTGTGAAGTTAAAATAACTACCACAAAGAAAAACTCTTATTATGTTCATGCCACCAGAAAGATAACAGCATATATACCTTTGTTTTCCCAAAGCAGGAGTGAATAGGCTCAGAAAAGTTGAAGTCCATGAGAGAGTACACTTTGCTTAATTTCTGCTCAATTTTGAATGCATCGTTAGTCACTTTTAATAGAAATGATATGATACATTTTCAATGCATTCAACCTCGAGACAATATTTGTTGTACCTTCGTATAACCACATTGCCATACATAATAGGGAAGACAAGGACCTTGCTGCTCTCCGGGCAGATCACCGCAGGCTCCTAAAGTCTCGTTAACAACCGAGTGGTCAAAACCCTCGACATCTTTAAGGCTGCGACGGCTCTTCCACAAGTCCTGCAGTACCCCAGTTATTTGAAGTAAAAAAAAACTCTGTTCTTTTGCCCAAAAGAAAATAAAGAGTAGTTTGTGGGAAGACTAACAGGAAGAGACATGGCGCATAATTTTAATACTCCTTTGCAAGGCATTATGAGTGCATCCTCGGATAACATTGAATGAAACAGAGTTCTTGCATTCCTAAAGCAAAAATAACAGGAGCAGATATTGGCATCTTCAATCGGCATTACAACACAGAACAATAGACATCAAAGGCCTTCCCATTTAAAATGTGGATTCCATGTTCTAAAAAATATGATTTATACTTGGTGAATTCAATGAAATTTAGATGAATATGCGTGTTTATCCTACAAGGTACTCAAAACAAGCATATGACCCTTCCAGCCTAAACTTGGATCAACAGACTTAAAATGGTGGCAACAGTTAAAAATAAAGCCTATTTCCCTAGTGAAGAGGATATAGAAGTCTGTTTCTTCGTTTGTTAGTTATAAGGCATATTTGAACAGATGAATGAAGGTCTACGAGCAAACATTTGCTTCTGTGTTCAAACTGAGGGTGCATTATTTTCTTTTACAATACTATGTTGCCACAATTGCACTATACTAGTACTAGAAGGAACTTCCAAAATAGAAGTACTAGATAAAAGGACACATTTAATAGGGTGCCATATTTTCATTAAAATATGGGCTTGAGAATAACGAAATTATAGTATAGAAGTGAATTTTAACTATCAATCAAAACTACATCAATTTCTGCCAGGCCAGAAGAATCGATGAGGACCATGGAGACAAAGAATCAAAAGAAAATATACTAACAGAAATACAACAAGGAGCACAACATGGACGGTGTTTGAACTTGAATGTGCAACATCAACTGACTGAATTGTTAGTAATGGTGTGAAGCATAATTTGTTAGATAATGAGTACTAGAATTTTGAAGTAACAAACCAGAAACGCAGGTTTTGCCATGGAAGCATCCCTTCACTGCCACAATAAAATGGTTCGCCCACTAATAAGTTAATCTGTGGAGATAAAATGATAGAAGATCATGAGAAATTCGTAAAAAACAGCATTACGAATCCTTGAACTACTTTTGAAGCCAGACTATAGACTAGCAGCAAACCTTTTTATGTTCCAAATCATCCGTTGAAAGAGATGCCGCTCTTTTACCAATCACTTGAATTTGATCCATGGAGAAATTGTTTGCCTTTGCAACAGCTTGGAGATATGTTGCACCCTTGTCCCGTAGACCAGGAAACATGGCAATGACTTTTGAAGATGGTGAGAGAGAAGAAACTAAGAGAGCTAAGAATATACTGTCATCAGCCACAATACAGGTTTGCGGAGATCTGTCACTCAGCTGGGCAGAAAAACATTGAATATGAATAGACGGTGTTAGAATAATGTAGGTATCAAAAAGAGAATGTAGGTAGCATAAACCATGGAACTGATCATGTACTCCAACTGAAAGATACTAGATTCCATGAAACTAACAAGGCAACAATATAGCTTCCAGATTGTCGAAAGGGTGAAAATCCCTTCGGTCTATGCCTGGAGTGACCAGCTAATATTATGAATTGAGAATTTGAATATGATTATGCAAACACAGTTTTTTCTTCTATTTTTCAAATGGCCAAACTGCAGAAACTATTGAAACCCTGAATTCATTTTCAAATGTTGGCAGATCATTAGAATATTTTTGCATCAGCAGATCTGTGGAATTCCTTTAGAATGTCAAAGTCTTAAATTAACATCCTGATCCATTTGTAACAGTGGAAAACAGAAGTTTGTGGAAATCAAGTGCGCAATGCAACAACATAATATTAATCAAATGAACTGGAGTACTTACAGCACTTTTAATTGCTGTTATCAAAGCTGATCTCCAACATATATCACCATAAAGTGCTATCCTTTCTGGCAACAATGTTAGATGGTCAGCTTTCAAGTTTCCATTGCATGCTTCATCATTGGGGTTTAGCAGCTGATAAGAGATGCTAGTGAGGTTATGACTAGCCCTTAGAGAAAGAGTTTGATCTTTCATAACAGGAGCACCCCTTCCTTGTGTAAACCAAACACAATGCTTCCAGTGATCACACCAATCCTTCGTGTCTATAAAGATAGAAGGAAGATATCGTTAAGTAGCTTCAGAATGCGAAACAGGGTGACTCCTATAAGGTCTACATATCGAATATGCTAGTTCAAGCAAGTGGTGTCAAATGCTAGTGAGCTTAAGAAGAATGTATGTTCTAAAAATCATCATATGCCCAAAGCGGTTACTTCTTCAACAATAAGGTATCACATCACTAACAAATAACAATACTTGCAGCAATGCTATTAACATCGCTAGCATAACACCATGCAGACATGTCAAGGCATAGGTAAGCAACCATGAATGTGCATTGACACACTATCCTGAACATTCGCGATACACTATACCAGAGAAAAAAATGCACTGATTCCATTTAAACCTTTTTTTTTGTGAACTGATTCCATTTAAACCTTCGCAGTGCAATTGTGAACTTATATGTGATACTTAGTTCCATGGACCAAATGCACAATCCCCTTTAAAATTTAATGGTATGTTGACATTTAGGATTTTATTTTCAAGTAAATTGTAGGCTAAACATATGGTGATATAGAAATTTCTAGGTTTTGTAGTGATTGCCGTGTAAGTACTATATAGGTGCAGTGTTGATGAAAGCTATTTCTTCAAAATATAGGACAGTCAGTTCCCCATAACTGTATAAGCATATCTAGATGCCCACATGGGCCAAGTCCAACATTACCTATATATCAGGGAAATGCAGATAAATGTATAAGCCTATCAATCTAGGGAAATGGAAAA